CTTCTTCTTCTTCTTCTTCTTCTTCTTCTTCTTCTTTCAACCGTCTCTGCTGCCAACTCTGCGGCGTCCCATGGTCCACGCGAACGTGTTCCGTCGCAAAGATAGAGAGAGAAAAAAAGGAGGAGAAAGAAGAAAACGAGAAGCGTATAAAAGTTGCCGCGTAAATTATTCATGAATGGCGGTCGGTCTGCTCGTCCGCAGATGAGCACGCTTCGCGGATACGCGAGAATTACCGGCGCCATTTGCACGGTACGTCTTAAACGGCCGCGCGAAGAGATCGTATCGGCGAGTGGCCCCTTAAAACGAGGAATTAACGCCCGCCGGTTACTGTAATCTCCGGCCGGGGGCGATAATCTTTCGACGCGCGGCTCAACCCGTAACAAAGTCTCGAATTAGCGGGCATGCTTTCTCGCTTCTGTTGCGTGTTCCGCGGAGAGGAACACTCGTCAGCTCGGTTTGGACAGTCGGTGTGGGTCGGGCTTGTACGCGTGATTTCGCGTTGACTCGCGTTTCGAGGAACGAAGGGAATCTTCACGCAGGGTGACTTTCGACGATTCGCAATCAGCGCTAATTAGTTGTGTCGATTTGGGAAAATTTCTTGTGCTTAACCTCCTGATGAACTCAGGAAATAGCAAATTTGTATTGTGCTCTTAACTAAGTCCCCGCATGTTTTTCATAATTACGAGCTTTTTAAATTGAACTTCTGGAAACCTGTCGTGTGTTAATAAATTTCATAATTCCAGCGTCAAAGCTAGAAGGAGGCGATTTTACGTTTGCGTTTTGAAATTAACTGTTCGCGGCAACATCCCACGCGCTGAGAAATATTTATTCTACACGATACTATATCAATCATTTCCTCGGAATACACTCTGATCATGCTCGAAGAGACACTAAACGTGCGTGTACGTGCTGACACTGCCGCGAGGTCACGAAGAACATGTAGAATAAAAATCAGTGTCGATAATAAAGCAATTAACATCCTGCGATTCCTGTACGTAGCCGTGTCGTATGTCTCCGCGACCGGTTCACCAGACACGCGAATAAGAAAGAAACACGTCGTTTGATGTTCACAGCGAACCGGCAAATGGACGTGGCTCTGTACGGCGGCTTGACTGTCGCGTGCGCTGTAATCGGCGGCCTGGCATTTTTCCTAGCGAAGCTTCTGAGGCGCAAAGGTCGGGACCATTCCCTCTACTCGATGGCCCGTAACGGTAAGCATTTCATAGATGAAAGAGAGAGAGAGAGAAGAAAACGAAAAAAAAATCAGCCGCTTTGGCTGTTTGAGAACGAAGGAGCGAAACACGACGTTCTCTCACAGCTGGATGTAATTACATTTCACGTTTCGGTCAACTCTCGAGGAAGTTGCTGAACTCGTTCTCGGTCCTTCGTCACTCGCTACACTCGATCGAAATGATACTATTTCGAAGTTTTGATCGATGCCACGTGTTCGCTACCTTCATCCACGTCCCTTTTCTTTATCGTTTGTCAGTCGACTCGTAAAGTTTTAGAAAATAACGCTAGAAATCCCTAACTGCCAAAATGGTCAAAATGACCAATTGATAATTTTTCTTAAATATTTTATGTATTTTTAGAGACTTGTAAAGATTTCCCGTTTCTATTCGACTTTAACGTCTCTGATGGAAACGTCTTTGACGTACAAGAGTAGTGGTACACGGATGA